CTTCTCCTGCATGTCCTGTTGAGTATATAGAAAAATTAATTTTGAAGGAAGAGATTCTGGATTCAAGTGCATGTTTGTGTTTCTACTTGAGGTCATGGAAAATGTAGATGATGATATTATTTGATAAACAGCTATAGCAACTAATTAAGACACAATATTTACACAATAAAGGATTATAATGTCCTGTTACCCATGGTTGTGCACCAGAGTGTGTTCCAGGTCCCTCTGTAGTAGTTTCCAGCTTTTACAGACTCTGAGCTCTTGCAAACTTGTTCTTTGGATACCATATCCATGTTCCTCGATAGGTTTTCAAGACGCTCAGGCATAAGCAGGTTCAAGACTTTCTACATGTGGTATTTCACAAAGCAGAATCCAGTTTTAGATGAGAAACATATTATGAACTTTTAAACAAGCAAACAGTTTAGCATTCAGTTTCCATGAATTCCATGCTATGAGCTAGTTCACCAATGTATCCCAAACACTGAAGATGTCTTAGGAAAAGTTAATGTAAATTCAGTGCATTAATATTCAGAAGTGGACCAAAAGGCAGCAGGTTGTATTTTGGTTACTATATAAGTGCTAAGAGATGAACTAGCTATTCTTCTTCTTCCTAACGTGCAGCTTTTGACATGTCCTCTGACAATAGTAAGAATTTATGGTCAAATCATTGCATAAACAAAGTATTGAATAGTGTTAACACTGTTCGAAGAATGAGTTGGCTTTCTTGTTGAATATGTGAAATAATATCTTCTATGGTGCTATCTAATGTACCTTTTCTTTTGAGGGTGAGGACATTATAGATGTCTTTAGCTGCTAATAGTATATTAAATTTAAGAATTATGGAAGACACTGTGTTCTTCAGAGCAATATTTACTTTTTATGTCAAAATTCTTTTTAAATTTTTTTAGTGCATTTTCTTCATGCAAGAGACCCTTCTGATTGTCCTGACATACATTTTGTTCACATCATGCTAATGTCTCGGGAAGCATAAATTAGTCTGCTCTCAGATGAAACAGAACAGAAAGGCGAGCTCCAGGGGCACATTTAATTTGTTGTAGTTGCTAATGGTCATTTACCTCATGGTACCAGGTTAGGAAGGGTATTAAGCAATTCCCCTTCTCCCTTGAAATACCTGTATTAGGAATGTTTGGTCTTGGGTATCAACTGTTTGGCTGTGTACAAATCTTTTTTTTTCAGGCTGCACTGTTTGCTAAAGTAAACACAATTTTTGACATTAAAAGTGTGCTGCCAGTGGAGATTTGAGCAGTTCCTGCCAGAAATATATTGTAACAGGGCAAAATATGCATTTATTAACCTGCAATCGTTGTTCAACCATGAAGCAAATCAAAACATCTTTGCTCTGCAGATTTGTGTTTGTCATTAGGTTTTAGCACAGTTCTTTGGTGCAAAATGACTGCATTAGACTTACAGTTATACAATTCTTGCTCAGATATTGGTGTGCTAATACTTTCATGTTAAAGCTAGAACATCTGTGTTTTTCTTTTAATCTGAGTTTTGATTTGCTTCAAATAAATTGTTCATGCACTGCTATTTCAAGCGTCACACAGTGTAACTCCTTTTTTTTTCTGTCCCTGGATAAGAGAATGATTTATCATACCAGCTGAGGACAGGAATGTGTGCAGTACAAAAGCTTTTTAGTAAGTTGTTTGCATACTTTAGAATAATGTCGTTCTGCTGAACATTTACTGCCATTTGAGCTTAAAGTTAAGTTTACAGGATTTTTTTTCATATGTTTAGATTCTGTGCACAGTAGTACACTCACAACCACCTTTGAAAAATTTTCACAGTATTCTGAAACATATAGGCCTGCTGATCTTGCTTGTAACCCAGCAAAACTAAATTCAGCCAAAAAGCTTTTGGAAGACATTTGGAAGATGTTTTCTAGGCCAAAGTGACTCATAAGGAGAGGGGAACAAACATGAATTATTCCTCTGCTGCCTTTGCACACATTCATCATCTCTCTGCATCCTAGCCAAAGGAATTTTCTTTTCTGTAAAGACATTAGGCCAAGAAAATAGGTATCCTTTAATAAAGCTAGCAATCTGGTTGTCTTTCCCCATCTAACTGGGAGACCTCTTCACTGCGCTTGATAAATGTTAACAGTGTTTTGTTTTTCGTATTTGCTCGAGTTATTTCCAGGGCTTCCCTTGGCTTTTGGTCAGAACCTCTGCATGACTGATGGAGGGGAGGAATACGCACAGCTAAAGGCTGCACCTGCTCTGCCTGGCGCGGGCCAGTCAGCACTGATTTGCATTTAATTCAGTGCCTCAACTGCGGCGAGACAAAATATATGTCAACACTGAATTGTACTCAGATACTTTCTTGTTTGCTGTAATAAATTGAGCTGACAGCCATAGAGAGACTTAATTTTTCTATTTTAGTCAAAGGGCACAGGCAATAGCCTTGTATGCTTTCTGTTTCGCCTCATTTCTGATACAAAGGATAACATCTATAAATTGGAGATCATTTTAGACCTTATCTCCATTCTGTCTTTGAGGACAATGCTGGAAGATGTAGTAAAACAAAGAGACTAAAGGAAAAAAGAAAAAGAAGAAGAAAAAATATGGCGTGGTGGAAAGGAAAGCCAACACATCTTGGAGTTTTTGGTAGTGTCTGCTGCAGTCTGTGAGGAGGCTACAATGAACAGCCTAGTGAACACTTTGATTTCTAAGCACTGTCTCCGAGTTAGTTAGACCTTCAGAGAGGTATGAATTATTTTGTTCAGTGCAGTGCTGTTCAAACACAGCCTGATCTCTTGGTGCATCAGTGTGTCTCAGCCTCCTTGGGATCTAATGCTGAAGATCTGTATAGACATTTGCTGGCTTGCCTCTTAAAGTAAATGGCTGTCAGATAGTTATTATTTTTAGTTACCCCTACATTGAATCACATTCATGCTTGATGACCTTTAAGTGCTGCATTCCACTCACTTGCTCCTTTGCTCTCTAGAGAGTTTCTCTCTGTTAATAACAGAGGGTGTTTGGGACTCAATAAATGCTCTGATATTTGTTAAAAAATGTTGACAACTTTACAGACTTTTTTACAGAGTTAAGTAAGTGTTGTACTCATTCATGTAGCTCATACATTACATCCTTTAAATCTGAGAATAACTTAGATGGGTATGTGGTGAGAATCTCTATTTGGTTATTGTTAGTTCAATAACAACTAAGGAAAATAATATTTTCGTTTATTTTCTACTGGAATGGTACATTGCACTGTTCAGCGAATAGATGTTATTGTAGTAGTTACCACAGATACTCAAAAATTCTATTGTGGTTTTAGAGAGACTATATATTGCAATCAGATTTCATTCAGATAGCACAGCTATATGGTACTGATTATGTAAAATTTATTGAAAAATGTCTGCATGATAGAAGGCTCTTGGTTGACTAAAATTGTCTTGAGGATGTCCTCTAGTGTCAAGAAAGTAGTATTGCTGCTTCAGGAATGTGGGTTCTGATGTGAATTAAAGATTCTGATAGGAAGAGCTATCGAGCAATTTAATAGTCACAGGGTAAGGCACAGGAAACTTGATCATGGGCTAAGAAGGAAGCATATTATATGCCTTTGCAATAGTTTAGAGGAGGAAGTAATATTTTGCTGGCATGTGATTGCAAAGAGAAGAAAGGGCACTGTTCTTTAGGGCTTATAGTTAATTTTGAGGCTGTAATCTGAATTCTGCATCAAAGATATGTGATACGACATGTGGCATTCATTCCTGTACAAATCCACTATAGTATAGCTTGGCAAACATCAGAACAATCAATCATTGGTGCTTCTTTACTATCTTCAGAGTTTCATGCTCCTGCCAATCTATGCTAAATGCAGACATCTCTTCCTCATACTCAAATTACCACTGACATCAACATCCATGTTCTAAATGTAAAAAGAGACATTTTGTATCCTATCCTAGTGTGTAGTAATAGACTCCAGACTTCACATATGAATCCACTAATCCAGAGTCTCATCTTGCACTAATTTTGTGAATCAAAACATACCATGGAGAGAGGCTGGAAGAGGCGAGGCAAAGCTGATTGCTGCAATGGGAGATTGTGATGGACTGGAAGATGGAGGCTTGGGGCCACCTGGTTTCTGAAGTCCATCTTCCAAAGCAACTTGTGTAAGACAGAATTGGTGCTTGAAGCTGTTACTTAAACTGTTATCTGAATATGTTAAAATTAATCCAGTTATAATCTAGAATAATTTAGGCTAGCCTAAATTCAGTATGATCTCTGGAAAATTTACATAATGTGAGGCCACTTTTCTTCCATGCAATTATTGTGTTGGAGAAACTCATTGCTGTCACACGTCTTTTCCTTTTTTGTGCTTCATACAGAAGTGGTAAATTGGAAGAGTAAGTAAAAGATTGGATGATAGAACTCTGAGCCAGTAGTTTATAAATCATGCTCTACCTGGATTCCAAGAACAAACAGAGTACCACAGGGGGTTTATTCTTAAGACCTGTCATTTTAACATCTTTATCAATGATAGTGTACACTTGTCAACTTTGAAAAAGACACCTAATTGAGATGATCATTTGCAGCAGCACCGTCCAAAGAAACCAAGGCAGGTTGCAGGGCTGGGCCAAGAGGAACCTAATGAAATTCCACAGGGGCAGCTGCAGAGCCCTGCTCATGAACAGGAATAACCCATTGCAATGACACAATCTGGGGACAGACCTGCTCAAGGGAAGCTCTGCTGAAAAGGACCCGGGTAGCTTGGTAAATGACAAGTTGTGCAGCAGCCAGCAGTGCGCCCTGGTGACAAAGTAAGTCACCGGTGTCCTGGTCTGGATTAACAGGCGTACAGCCATTACATTGAGAGAAGTGTTTTTTCCCCTTCACATCTGGCACTTGTTAGACCAAATCAAGAATACTGCATAGTGTGTCCGGTTTGGGCCCTCTAATACACAAAAGACATTGATGAACTGGAGTGAGTCCAGGAGAGGTCCACCAAGACGAAAACATTCGGCCTGTGAGGAGAAGGTGAGGGAAGAGTGTTCACTCAGTCTAGAGATGACGTAGCTCCAGGGAGATGTAACAGCAGCCTCCCAAGGAGCATCCCAAGACAGGCTCTTCACAGTGGTGCAGATTATAGATTATGGAAGATTATAGTATGTTAAGCCTTGCCAATGTAAGGACAAAATGATGTTATGTTGTACAACCGACTGTCTGAATGAACTGGAGTAAAGGTATGCAATATAGCTGAATGGTAAGGCTTTTGTCCAAAGTGGCAATGCACTTCATAATGCCAAACAAAGCACAAAAAGTGACAGGTAAATATAGAATTTTGGAATGTGGAGAAATATTTTTAAAAGCAAAATAAGTCCAAGGTAAAACAATACAAAATATGATAATTCAGTGGGGTGTCAGCAGAAAACCCGGAAATGCACTGTCTGTCTCAATATATTAAGTAATGATGTTGAAAAGCTGCTGAAGGAAGTGTAGTATACTACACTTATTTGACTAAAAAGGCCAACAGTAAAATAAGTTAATAACTTCATAAAGAAGTTAAATGCTTTTGTTATTCCACATCCTACAAAACTCTGGTGAAATACACAGCCTGTTAATAAAGATGAGTCACCGTCTGAGATTACAAGTGTCAAAAGAGTGAATGCTGGAAAAGTTTGATAAACTATGTAACAAAAAATCGCAAGAACCAGCTGTTCTGTCCATCCCTTTTGGCTGATTCCTTTCCATTCACTTTGTCTCTGATCACAGTAATTTTGAGATCTGGAACTCAGCTTGGGATCGGGATACCAGCATGCACTGACATTGTCATTTGAATGCTATCAAATGAGTACCTTATTTTTACCAACAAATTGACATGCCAGACTGTTCTTTATACCACAAGAGTTCAAATGCTTACTCTTAAGAGTGGGAGTGTCGGAAAGAAGAAGCAATTGCAGTCTTGTAGAAGAGTAGGGTCAGGGTTTTCATTTTTCTTTGTTTTCTTTTTTAAGCAGCACATCTGAAAGATGTTCTTTGGCATCTTTCTTTTCCTAAAGGCCTTTAGCAGATCTTGTGACAGATTTATAAGAAAAAGAGTCCAATAAGTGAGTCATACACAAGAAAATGAAAATTATAATTAACATCTATATAGCATATTTTATCCCAAAGGCACCACTCTATTTAACAGAGAGCACTGGTGAAGTGTTCAGTGCAAACCATGAATTAAGTGAAAAAGAGCAAGTATACTGCAAGCCCCTACTCTAAGTATGGCATTATTGTGCTTTTTCGAAGAAGATAAGATTTTGATTTTTAAGGTCACGTTTTACAAACTCTCTCTGCTTAAAATTAGAACAGGGAGAAGTTGAGTCAGCTAGGTTTGGCTTGTCAAAATAATCAAGAATAATAGGTGAATCAGAGCTGAGCCTATTTTTTTGGAAAAAAAAAAAAAAGTAAAATCCTATCTCCTGCTCATCTGTCTCTTCTGTTCCCCCCTCCTTTTTTTCTTCTTCTGACCATACTCATGTTTTCACTGTACTTGCTGGTCTGGGAAATATCAAAATAGAACTAGAAAAACTTTGTTCTGCGCCCAAACTAGCTGTGATACCATGTTGTTGGAATCTCTGTCTTTGAGTATCTACCCTAGCGAGACTCACTTGAAGCTGAGGTAAGCAAATAGACTTTACTTTGTTACTAAAATGTTAATTCAGTGCTGAAGAGAAGGAAGAGCAGAAATCGGCATTTTGACTTTTCCATTACTTTTCCTGAATGATTTTAATCTGTTTGGGATTTTTCCGTAACTATTTTTACCTAATTTTTCTTATCTTTTGTACTGAAGTAGACTAATGCAAAACTGATGTTAAATGACCCTTCCACATTTAACCTTTTGCTTCTGACACAATCTCCAGAGTCAAAGGATGGTTATATTATTCAAGCTTTGTGTGGATGAGAGTAACCTGAAGAACTTCTGGGTTAGATAATTTCTACTGTGAAGTGTGAGGTCCAGTTTTTAGTTTGGTAAACTGAAAACAGATGCTGCCTCTATTTAAATGGAAATCGTGGAGCAACCCCAACAAGAGCAGAAATCTGATACGTAAGCAGAATTGCAGATATGTTCAATAGTGCAGGATAGGGATGGAAGTCTTTGGAACTCCCTTCTCTTCCTGTGTTCCTTCTTGTTGCTGCCATAGCCAGTGTCCAGTAAACAGAAAGATTTAGAAAAGAGGAAAGCAGAATTCAGATTGCTTTTTTTTTCCATTTGTTTCTTCCAACAGAAATTCTCCCTAGAAGTCAATCATGTGAGAAAATACATGAGCAAAATCATTGAACAGATGGATAGATGGATGATGCAGATGCAGGGGGTGTAATGGGACAGTGTAAAGAAATATCATATACTGATTTTGAACTTCCTGTCATATAGTTGACAGAAATTTACACTTGTACCCGTTTATCAAACTATAATTGCCTCTGCTGAAACCTATGTTTGGCAAGATGGAAGGAAACACACAGTGACTTGAGTCTTGGAAATCTGGACTGATCAGAGTTGCTTTCTGTGGAAGTGATCAGAGGGAGAGTGACCCAATGAGTCTACCAGGGTTTTAAGAGGGAAGCTTAAACATGTGGATGGCATGCCCAAAGGAGAAGGAAAAAAAAAAGACAGAATATTGAGAAAAAAGGAAAGGAGGAACTAGCAGCAGAGAAGAAGGAGAGTGATTATGAAAGCAGGAATAGCAGCATGTTTACTTCTTTGAGAGGAGCTAAAACCTATTTTCTTAGATATCCAAATAAGTAATATGTTTCACTAAGGCTTTTGTGAATAGAAATTGGAGTTTTTTACGTTTTGTTGGAGGGTATCTTGTGATATTTATAGGTGATTTACCAATGCAGTGCACCGTCAAAGTAATATCAAAAATAATAAGATATGATATAAACAGCTTTTTGTAACCAAGCCGCAATCTTCTATTATTCTCTTAAGAGAGTACTCTATCAAATGACTAGGTTCTTATTTTTAATTTTGAAGAGGGACAAATAGAATGTGCTTTGAGGAGAAGTTTCAAAATATGTATTTCCAAATGTTGCATTTTAAACAAAAATAGAAGAAAAACACATTTGCTCTGTGTATCCAGTTCTCTGTTATTTGAAACTCGTTTGCCAACAGGTGTGGTCAGGTCAGTGTTTTGGGAGTCTCCTATCCATCTTTATGGACATTTTAGCACCTTTTTGTCCTAGCCAAATTGTAGCTGTTGCATATGTCTATTCTTTATGTTTGTAGGAAACAACTCGCTTTTGGGATCTGAATCCTCCCAAAGATTGCTTGAGTTGTTCCTGACTGAGGCTTTTGATAAGGGTCTGTGTATAACATTACCTTCCAACTCACTATTCCCAGAATCAAGTTAGTGAATCAGGAAAAGTTTAACTTTTGTCAGCATTAAAACATGATCATGTGGTCAGACTCTAAAACTTTATAGCTGTATGCTGTCCATACTGAGCTGAAAGAGCTTAAATTTCCATGTTTCTGTCTCTAGGACTGTTAGCTTCTGTTTTGAAATTACTCTTTCCAACATACGAGGTAGATGGGATCTTTTAAATATAGTACTGAAGTGACCTTTTAGAAATGCTCCCATGCACTTCCATGTTATTACCCTTTTGTTCTGGACTTCTTTGTATTTCTGTTGGGTCCCGGTTCTGAAGTGGTGATTTTCTCTGCTTACTGAGTACTTAGTGTATGCAAGGAGCACGGTCAAGAACAAGGAGGCAGGGGTGGGAACAGACCACCCTTACCATAGAGCATTATGCATTGCAAGAGATGGATATCTGCTTGTTTCTTTGGTTGTTTTGGTTGTTTGTTTTTGAGCAAGTGAGAGCAGGCAGAAGATCAAGTGAGAAAGTGTGAAGGAGCAAGCGAGTGAGTGAGAGTGAACACAAAAGAGAGAGCAAAAGATACCACTACTTAATTTAGTAGTTTTAATTGCTCTGAAGAGATATTTTCCAGATACTGAAACTAAAATCTTCCTTAGTCACTTGTAAACATTTTTCTCCTGCTATTTCACCCTTTTCCTCCCAGCGTCTCTGAGTAAGGCCAAAATCTGTGCTGAGTAGGACCAGTGCAAACACTGGGTGAAACTTCTGCCATGACTGCAAATGCAAAAGCAATTCCATGAATGTGGCTGGCACGAGGATGTAGCCCAAGCAGGGAACCTTGTTGCCTCCTAGCTTTCGCCGTGCATTGTACCCATTGACTCACAAGGCTTGCATGAAAGGGGGAAATGTAAAAAACTTCTAAACAGGCAAAATCAAATAAACATGTGATAAGTAACCGCTATTTTATAAACACAGATATTTCACTGAGTAAATGTTTATCATATCACTTGCTGACTTCATTCAGAAAATACTATTTATATAGCATGAAGGAAAGTAATATATTGCCCAGATTAAGCTTAAGCAAAATCTTGAGTTTTCAGAAGTACTGGGTTCAAGAATACAAAAATCTTTTTTTTTTCTGAATAATACGAATATTAGTCTTGCATTTTAAGTTCAGCTTCCATGGACAAAACAGTAAAATTGTCTCCCCGAGCAGTTTTCATCTTAGAGAGGTTTTGGTACGTAGCTGGTTTTATCTGCATGAACTGTGAGTGATCGTATGGGTTAATCGCTTACCCTGAGAGATGCGGAGACGCTGTAACGAAGTCCAGAAGGTAGTTTTAGGGGGAGTCTAAATCTCACCGCCTGACTTTTATTTATTTATTTAACTTTTTTTTTAGGCTAATTCTCCTTTTGCAGCAAGCCCGGGTGATGTCATGCTGTCTCCTCCCACTGAGTGAGCCAAGCTCGTGTCAAAGGGGTGCTGCCTCTGTCCCAGGGAGAACAGCTCGCTCGCAGCTGCAGCTGCAGCACCTTGCGTGACCAGCCTCGCTCAGCACCTCTCCGAGCGCGAGGTCGGCTTTGTAGCCATGATAGCGAGATTGCTCTTTCTCCTTTTCTGTGGACATATTGCACTAACCCTGGGAAATGCTCAGAAATTGCCAAGAGGCAAGTAGCTATGACAACTTTCTGTTGTTTTTGGTTTTGTTTTCTTTCTCTTGTTCGGGATTTTTTCTTTTTTTAATGCCTATATATTGCTGTGGAAATTTGCTTTCAGCATGTTAGGAAAGATTAAAGGTACTTGAAAATAAAAGATCAGTCAACAGGGCAAAGTCCAGTTATAAAAGAATAACTTTAAAGCTCTTGAATAAAATAAACACAAATATTTCTATTGCATCTTGTGATTTTAGTGAGAAGTGCCATGAAAGAAAATGACTATATTTAATGATTTTATCATGATTTGGACTGTAATGTGTATCAGGATTTAGGCAGTAAAGTCTGTGATGTGAGATCTTAAGGAAAATATGACTTAGATGCACCCTGTTTTGTTGGCAAAATAATTCAGTTTTGTCTTGAAAAAAGGTCTGTCCTTTCCATTTATATCCATCCTTAGTGTTAGTATAGAAATTCACTTTTTCAAGACAGTTTGCATGTGTTTTGAGGGAGATTTTTTTTCTTCCTTTTTTAAGAGCAATTGCATTTAAATCTTTGCATTCCCCAAGAAGAAGGAAAATACAAAGCTTTAATCCTGTGTGAATGTTTGTTTAACTATTCTCTTCTGCTGGAATCTAGACATACAGAACATTTGCAGAGCTGGCAAGGATATTTTCTCTCTATTACTAATGTGACCCATGTAATACTGGCATTTCACTACTATTTTATTACTACAGGAAGAACAGCTGCATTATTAAAATGAAAATAACGTGTCTGAACCTAGATCGGAAAGCACTTTGTAGTAAATTTGGATTTAAAACAGCACTTTCACAACTGTTTCTGTACTGCACGTATTGCTCTCACTTTGGAGGAGTACTTGCCTAAGTCCACTCTGCTTTGTAATGCCTTTTACATCTGCAATCTGCTGCAACCAGTAATGCTTAGAAAGGAAGCTGGAATTTAGTTGCTCGTGGCAATCATTAGTGGCAAATCAGCAGGCTAATGGCTTTGTAGACATGCTCCTTCATAGGTGAGAGGCATAAAAAACTGTATGGAGAAGAAGCCTTGAGATGTTTTTGTGAAAGTGTCTTGCCCCGCTTTTAGAAAAAAAAAAGCAAAAAAACCCAAAATCACATCCTCTGGAATTGGACAGGGTTTATTGTCAATGTGCATTTTTCTGGATGCTGCAAACAGTGAAGCAATGTGTAGTCTGAGCAGCAAATATGTAGTTTTTTTCAGGATAGACCTTTTTTCAATTCAGAACTTAGTTTTATCATAAAGTCATCTATAGGTAAACTGTACTAGCAATATTTTCAGCAGAGGATACACTGTGCAGAAATGAATGCTATACATAGCCCCTATTTTGAGGGGAGGGACTTTATCAGTGCTTGTCTCTCTAAATGTTTTCACTTGACTTTCTGTTCACTACTCTGATGACTATAATTTAGTTTCCACTGTGCAGTTCTGATGAAGCTGCTGATCTGTTACAGTTGGTGGGAGATCAGCTCTGGGATGCATTTCTTCATGTCCTAAAATAACACTGCAGAAGTGCACTAGTTCCGTTTGCCAAATGCATAAAGCTGCAGGTGGAAACTTTACTTCTGTTGACAGAATAGCTTTCTAAAGAGTGTTTCCTTGCACTGCTGAAAAAGCTGTCTAATGCTTCTCTTTGTAGCTTATTTACCTCAAACTGCATTGAAAAGAAAGTGTGTTAGTACCTAGCTATTCATCTGAAGATGTTCAGAATTGTTTTTTTATCAATTTGTCTTTTTTTTTTTTTAACGGGGACGTGTAGTGATGCTATTCTGCTAAGAGGGCTACTCTGCCCTGGTGAGTAAGCTTAAATTGCAACTAATTTCAGTGCTGTTCAAGTCACAGACTCCTTAAATGAGGCTCCAGAGTAATTTCTGTTCGATAGGGCACAGTGGAATCAACTTCATAACCTTAGAGAGAAGAATCTAGCCAACCTCATTTTCCAGTTGTGCAATAACCTCTCTCAATGAACTATCTCTCCATGTCCATTTGCTCATTCTTACTACTGCTTAGGAGTTCCAGTGCTCAGCCTTCCCGCGGAAGGTGAACACACTGATCCGTGGCCTCATGCATTGGGACTTGCTTCCAGTGGTGCAAAGTGGAAAGAAAATCTTGCCTCCTGCAGCTGCAAAGGAGCAGAGCCAATAAACCCATTGGATGTCAATGACTTACAGAGCCACTGGAGAGCTTGTGTGTACAAATATGCCATTCAGGAGGCTGGAACACACACAATTCCCTTTTCCAATATACTTCTGTGTTTTCACCTCCATGACTGCATGCTTGACTAGAAGAGCTATTCTAAAGAGAGTTATTTTGATTTCAGGGAGGTGGTTGATATTTCCAGTGGAAACTTATCTTATAGTAGTACTTAATCTACTTCTATACTACTGTGATGCAGTAATCCTACCTACATAGAAAATAAGGCTCTGGTATCTCTGGTCCTAGTATAGTGCCCTAAGCACAGGTATATGCTCTTCCTCCTGCAATTCTTTCTCACATTCACTATAGCAATGGCTTAGACATTTATAAGCTGTGTCATAATTCAGAATCTGAGGTAAGATTTTACAGGCTGAAGTAAAGGCAGAGTAATTGGAAAGGGAAAGTTAGTGGGGTTAGTTAGCTTTTTTCTTTCTTCTTCTTTTTTCTATTTATTATGTTTTTATTCCATGAGTTTCTGCTTAAAGACAGAATAGAACAGATAGAACTCTGTGCTCTGATTGTGTGAGGAGTGACAGAACAGCAGAGCAGGTGATGATGCTATCAGTGGTCTTCTCTTCATTGATTTTTAAGCCATTGCCCTTTCATTTGTGTTCAGCTCCTGAAGTTTTGCTTTTTGTGGAGTAGGGGGGATCTGTGTCACCCCACTTGTTTTTATACCTTCTCTCTTTATACCTGTTCTCTTATACCACTATGCCTGCCCCATCCAAAACCCAGACTGTAATGCTTCAGTTCAACATTGTTGTACTGGAAATAATGTGATGAGAATGCTTCACAGGAGGAAATGATTGCAATGCATAGATGTTGGAGTTGATAATTCGAGAATGCATGATGAGCTGTATGATTCCATTAAACAGAAATGTTCCATCCTCAAAGAAGGCCATATGGTCATTCTGGATTAGAATATAGCACTAAAATAAAATAAAATAAAAACACTTGCTTTCAGGGAATGAGTTAACAAGTATAGCATCCTGAAAGTAAGAGGGAGATGAAAAAGCAACCCCACAGAATCAAAAATAAACAAGTTACAGGACATAGTGCACAAGATTGTGCTGTCTTGTAAACCATATTTCACTGACATCTTTGCAGCTGGACCTCATCCAAATAGTTCTGAAGGCAGCAGTTGTAGAACAAGTTCTTAGTGTTTGGTAAAACAGCTTTTTATGATTTTGATTTTGCCAATTGACTTTCCAGTTACAGCACGGATGTGCATAAATGTACTGTTTTTCACTATCATCTCTGTTTCCGATAGCTTTTGTATATCTTCATGCTCTATTTCCATTTGTTAGAGTTGAAAAAAAAAAAAGGTCAATCTCTTCTTTTAAGCTTACAGCATTATAAATTTGTAAGTTAAACAAGAACATGATTTTTTATTGGTTTTGCCATGTTTCTGACCTCAGGTTATTATCTGTGGTTTTCCTACTATTTGAATTAGTCACTGGGTAGACTGAAATTCAGGCACATCCATGTTTTGCTTGCCGGGATTCAGTCCCATCGTCATTCTGCTTTCCAGGAAAGGCTAAGGAAACCTTAATTCACCTTCATCCTTGTTGCTGCCTTTTTAGAAGTGAAGCATACAACCTCGACATTAATTACTAGACATTTCTTCTTTCTATGGTTGTCGCCATAGACTTAGCAGGAAAAAATAGTTTACTGCAGTGGTAGACTATGTAATAGGATTGCTTAAAAGCAGGGATAACACTATCTAGATTTTTTTTTCCTTTTAAAGTACATAGGTATGTTTGAAAGCATGGTAGATAACTGCTAGCTAAGATCTGTATTTATGGTAATTATAACAGTCATCCCTTTTGAGTGTGAACACTGCAACATTTCCAAACGTATGCTTGACATTTGTAAAGGGAATGGGCTAATTTTATTCATTGCTAAATTTGTTGGCCCTGCTCATGTTATGTAATACTTCTTCTTAAGCAGAGGTTAAACTCGGCATGTGTTTTCACTTACCGGTGTCAAGCAGTTAAAACAATGTTGAGCTATTACAATGCGCCATAGTTACTGTACTACAACTGCCAGATGTTAATTCTGAAACTTTTGTGGGCCCCCTAAGCATCACCCCTATTGTAGCTGTAGGATAGCGGAGCAGAAGTGGCAAGTCTTCTGGAAGTTGTGCAGATGATGAAGCAAAATATTTACAAAAACAGTGAAATAAATACCTTGTTGTTTATGTTATTTTCTTCATCATTTACAAAACCTCTTTATGGGTACTGTTTTTAAAAATACACAGATGCTTTAACCTTAAAAAGATATAATCTAATAAAGGAGAGTCAGTTTACACTAAACTATTCCACTTAATTCTTTTTAATGTCAGTAAACTGAAATGCAAACTGAACTTGTGTAAAATACTTCTTTTATGTTTAGTGGCACAGAAACAGCAACAAGATCCTGTGAGAAACCATAAAGTGATCCTTTATCTGATATAAATGAGTGGCTAATATTTCCAGTCAGTAGTTAGTGTTATGGTACATTTGGCTCCTCTGTAATCTTCTTTGCAGAAAATTAAAACAACTCATAGGAATTCTGACGTTGCAGCAATTCATTTGATAAAAACTGTCTTATCAATCACAGAGATGTGCATGTCCTAGAATCAGCTAATAACATATCAACATCTGACTATGAGAATCAAGCTTACCAGGATCAAGGTAATCGGTAATAACACAGTTCCATTTACACCAGGAGAAGCTGTAATGCTGCAGTATCATGCATGCCATACACAGCACTCTGCCAGGATCAAATGCGATAAGATATGA